CGCTCCTCTGAATTACCTGAAGCACTTGGATCCATTCACACTGGATATCAATCTTGAAGTGACGATTAAACCAGAAGGAGGAGCTGATCATTCCGTGTGCAAGACCAATTTCAAGGTAATTGCAGGATTCCTGGAATCTGAATGAATTCTATAGGAATCGATCTATTTCAGCATCTGTACTGGACCCTGAAACAACAACTCGCTCATCACACTGTGAACGGTTGCAATGTACGGCCTGGTGATCTCATGGGTTCTGGAACCGTTTCCGGACCGGTGGGTACCATGAATTTTTTCTTGAGCTTCGACTACTTTTAAGTAAAGGCTAGGGGGCTTGGCTCCTCTACCACATCAGATATTGATTTCTTCGATTCTAGGAGGAAGGAGCCTACGGATCAATGCTGGAACTGTCATGGCGAGGAGCAAAGACCATTGCCGTTGGCGATCAAACTCGGAAGTTCCTGCAGGATGGCGATGAGGTACAGTTCTTCCGAATGTGCTATCCGTAGCTCGTTAAGACAGATTCTGCACAAATTGGGTGGGAGGAGAAAGATTCCGCAGTGACCGAATGGGAAGAAAGTCATAAACATTGGGCCTTTCCCGTTGGTACGGCCCTCCTTTTTAGGCGAGAGCACCAATGAGTGAAGCAGGCTGGTCATGAATCTCCGCCTATCCTGTCCTGCGGAATGTGTCTGAGAAAAGATTCCTGCGCACTGATAATCTCTCCGAGGTTTTTAGAATGCTAGAATCACCACAACTTATTGTCACCATGGGGTGACCAAAGTCGTAGTCATGACCTTCTGAGCGCAGCAATCCTAAGGCAGCGTTCAGACTTCGCGACGGCAGCGCTTCGGTCGCGCGATTCGACGATCGATGCGCATGCTTTCGACTGCATCGATCGCGTCGAACGCGCGACCGAAGCGCTGCCGTCGCGAAGTCTGAACGCTGCCTAAGAGCACGTGGCGAGCACGCTGGACTCTTGCTGTATAAGCCTGAGAATGCCCTCTTCAGTACGAATACGCCCAAGCGCTGCAGAATATAAAACGTTTGCTCGTTGTTGTGTTCCCTCACCCTTTGTCGTCTGGTTTCTCTTGGAAGCGCAGACAGGTCCAAATCATCGAGAGGACCAAATCATCGAGACGTGCAGGAAACTATGGCGAGCCAGGAAACGAGCTTTTTCAAGGGGAGGGACTCCGGGGTGGGTGAGCCACTTATCATACGTGAAAAGCTGGAATGTGCGAAGTCACAATGACCATAGAGTGCCACGCGGATGAGAGAGAGAGCAGAGAAAAACAGAAATTCGACACGTTCAAAGGCATTGAGTTCAAGTTGTCCGTAGACCGCAACGTTGAATGGATCGCGCAGGGCACATCGTTGTTGGGGAATCCCCAGGGAGGGGGTCGTATTGGACCAGTGAGGGGGGTCCTATTGTGCTGACAATTTGTTTTGATAATGATTTTATATGATTTTGTTTTGATGTTTTGATTTTCTCGCTCGGGCCGGAACTGTGAAAGGGGGGGGGGAGGGAAGAGTTGTACTTCTCCATTGTGGGGAAGGAGGGGGGAGGGGGGTTGATGTCAGCTTCCTGCCTTCTAAGAGTGTTGACTTTCGTGATTTCCTGTTTCATGTACTATATTACCCCGCCCCGCCACTACCCGCCGTTAGAGCTGCGATTCGTGAGGAGGACGAGTCCGAGCGGGAGGTCGTACGGAGTAAAATCCGCTAACCAATGATGTGCCTGGGATCGCGTCTTGGTGCGAGTACTGCGCACAGCGCCGTGTTTACAGTGCTTTTTCTGCCTCTCGTCTGGAGCGTAATATTTCCACAGCCCATTTTTTTTGACAATTCCTTGGATTCCTCCTCTCCGCCGACTTTTGGGAAATAGAATCACATTGGACCTACAAGTTCACATTCGATTTCTACTACCCATGTATTGCTGTGTTGTGAAACGTTCATTTATTCACAGTTCGCTGTTGCAGATAATATTTTAGCTGCAATAGTAATATTAGGTATGCATTTATCCCCCCCCCCCCTCCCGAAAAACCTTGTTCTTGTTTACTTCACGAGCAGCAGCCTTGACCGGTGGAGGTTAAGCTTTGAGTTTGGTTCTACTCCGCTTGGATCCATAAATATATATGATCCGCTAACGTTTGTCTGTTGTGTGTGTGTGTGTGAATGTCTGTTGTGTGTTTGACCGGAAATTCATAACTCCCTTCAAAGGAGCGGCAGAGCGCTCAAACTTATAAGTGGTGTAGGGGGTCGGGCAGGAACATTATTGGTGGGTGGCAGGAAGTGATAACAGCTGATAAGATACCATAAGGAGCCTTAGAAAGAGTGGGTTACCTAATTCATAACACATGCCAGAGCAATGACCGGACGATGGATCCAAGTAGTAAGATAAGGGGCAGGATGGGAACATTATTGGTGGGTGGCAGGAAGTGATAACAGCTGATAGGACACCATAGAGCCTAGAAGGAGTGGTTACTAAATTCAGTAACACATGCCAGAGCAATGACCGGACGATGGATCCAAGTAGTAAGATAAGGGGCAGGATGGGAACATTATTGGTGGGTGGCAGGAATGATAACAGCTGATAAGATACCATAAGGAGCCTTAGAAGGAGTGGGTTACCTAATTCATAACACATGCCAGAGCAATGACCGGACGATGGATCCAAGTAGTAAGATAAGGGGCAGGATGGGAACATTATTGGTGGGTGGCAGGAAGTGATAACAGCTGATAGGACACCATAGCGCTTCACAACACGAATCCTGAGAACACTGGAGAACTATCCTCCAGCAAGTGATTCAGACGTTTTTAAGGGACATGGTTTGAGATTTTAGTGACGAGAGATATGTTGTGATACTGTGGGCTTATAACAGTCAGATCTGCTACTCTGCTTACGACTGAGCTGACCACTTGTGTCAGGATCAATGAATGCAATACGCTATCAAAGCAAGCAACATCTATCTTCAGGCAATATAGTCGAATTGATCGACGCTAACTTTGAGGCTTCACCAAAAATAAAATGCCTAACACTGTTTGTCAAGTGACAATGATAAGACCCTGCAGACGAGACCTGAAAGCTGCTCAAGGAAGCGCTGGAAAATGCTAAAGCTTTCATCAATTCGATCTGTTTATACCGAAATTCTTCGAGCGCTTAGTCTGCATACTGAGTGTGGTGTTTTAAGAAAATTTGATAAACAACAGACATTGGCAATGTCATTGAAAACTGAAATATGATGCAAAGGTCCTTTTCGAACTGAATTAATGCAAGTTTTAAGTGCCAGCAAGAGATCCTGACAGTAGTCAGCACCACAGCTGGACCGCAGTATGCAGTCAGCCAGAAAACCTTGTTATGAAATAAGTAAACAAACACATTTTAGGTGAATCTTGTCGGATTCTGTGAGAAGAACGGTGTCCGTATTGGATTCGGTGAATGCCGAGGAAAAGTTCTGCCAGCACTGTGAGGATTGCTCTCGCAGCTCTACTTATCCAGAGGACCTCTTACGTTCACTTATAAGTATAGGAAATGAGTATGGTGCTTAATAAATTTTCATCGTAATCTCATGAATGTTACTGTTCTGCTCCATCGATTGCTCTTTAAGGCAGTGGTCGCATTTGCGGGGTGGGGAGGAATCTTAAGAACTTCTCTTCAGTTCGTCCTTCCCCCTTCCCAAGAGGGGAGATATTAACAAAACCTTTTTTCTGGATACTCTCAGGTCAGGACAGCGTTCAGAGTTCGCGATGACGCGCGTCACAGCGAAGTCCAAACACTGCCTAAAGTTTGAAGTGAAACCAAGAGTGAACAGTTGTGAATTATGGGTCAAAAGGCCCTTCATCCATTCGAACCCTCTCTCCCCAGGTACTCGTGCAGGGTGTCAGAACTATTTGCAATGAGAATGCAGCCCTTTGCATCTATTCAGTATGCTATGACTGCCCTCCCCCATCTTTATTGGTCTCTGCAATCCGACTCAGCAGTTTTTCAGACTTTAAGACCCGTCAGTTGTACGGCGCCGCATGCGATGGCTATTTTGATGGCGGTTCTTGCTCAGGTTTAAACCTCATAGCACAAGGTACTACGAGGTTTCCGACCGTCCTTCCTGGACGTGTTGTAATCCAGAATTTTTGGATAGCTCTCGCGGGGTATCCGAGGGGGCAATAGGAGCAGCAATTTTTGGAGGGGACTTTTTAGGATGACCACAACATTTGGTATCCAGGACTAGCGTAGTACCTATGATACCTAATGTGGGAGCTGCCAAATCGTAAATTCAGGGATACGTTACCGCGGTGATCGCGTGGGCGGTAACACTGAACCCTTGCCTTCCCTTGAGGGGTCCTTCTAACACGGTAGCAAAGACGCACTAGTGGAAAGGCACCAAGGTTGGCAGTCTCCGCCCATTCTACTGTTGCGGAATGTGTCTTTAAGGCTGTGACGATGCTACCAAGTGCGAACCAGGGCACGTCTTGCCGTTAGGGAATTTAAAGGAGGCGCATGAAAATCACCCCCTCAAAAGTGTTCTTCTGGTGCGACCTCCCCCCACTTATTTTGATTTCCTCAACTCCCGGCCACGCCTCCGGGCCCCGCGGAGACTCTGTAACAAGGACTAGACAACCCCACAGCAGATCTACCAAATTTTCCTTACTTATTCACGTAGCATTTACCCACTTCTTACCCTTCCCCCCCCAGAAAAAAAACGATGAAAAGTCGAAACAACCAGAAGTTTCATTTCAAAGCGAAAATACAGCCTTTCCCCTCCTACTGCCAATAGCCAGGACCGCGCCCCCCCCCGCTGAGGGATCCGTGCCAGATCCCCGAATATACGACGTGACTTGAATTCTACAATAGGACCAAGGTTCCTTTTCGGATGCGCAGTAGGCGACGATTCGATTCACGATGAAAATACTGCAAATCCCACAACAATAGATACTAATTTTTATGGACTGAAAAATATTAGACATTTCTGAATACATGTAAAACGGGAATCAATCATCGAAACAAACAATCGAAAGGAAGATAATACATTGTATGCAGAAGGTAAAAGAAACCGGTGGCAACAACACAGGGGTGCGAAGGAGAACACAGTGGGGAAGACGAGAAATGTCATCGAAACACAGGATAGATGTGATAGAGAGATTTTCCCGTCTAGCATTGAAATTTTCATACAGCCACCAAAAGGTTAGCAAAAAACAGTGGACAGCGACTCAGATATTCGTTTAATCAAAGCATATCTACAAACGGAAAGTCTGCATTTGAGGAAAACATTGACACAATGGCATTTTACGTTTTAGCTCTTTTCCGCTGCACCCGATGTCTCAGCTTCCTAAAAGCTAAGGTTCTCAGCTAAATGGTATAAATCCAGTTTGGCACCACTATTCGGCTTAGTGGGGACATCGGATGGTACATAGCAAGCTTGGATGATCCACCTTGTAAAACTTGCGGACAATTTTTGTCGAGTCAGCGCGGCTCACGTTGCACCATATTCGCAGCTTCCACGAGTTCCACAAGTCTCGCCGAAATGAGCATCCGTGAAACATGAAGGGGAAAAAAAGGAGTCTAGCCTGTGCACAATTAGCCCCTCCAACCGACAGCGCCGAAAAATTTATTCGATCTGACAGGAGATCCTTATAACTGACTAGACTAACCTTTCCGGCTGTCTTGCCTGCTCGCCCTCTCCTGCTTTTTGCATTGGGCACCCACAACCCAGATTCAATACAGCGTTGGAAATGGTAGGCAAACACCTGAAATCATGTGGAGTATCTCCAGAGAAATGCCTAGAAACGAAAGTTGTCACAAGAATGTTGAGCTACGCTGACAGAACTCCTGACCACGGGCAGGACTCGAACCTGCACACCGTCAAAACGCAATCTTGGCGTCATCAGAACACGCCCTCTCAGCTCTCTATCATAACAACACAACTTAAAACGAAAATTATTCAATTATAAGCAGTAGCACTACCTCTCTATCCATAGTCAGTGCAACCTCTTGCAACTTAGAGACATCTTGGCTATCGAATGCGGCTCGCATTTCAGCGGGTAGGGATTCGTACACTTCTTGCGGATCCAAGCCTCCTGGAGCTGCAGCGATACGTTTTTCCTAGAAACACCAGATTGTTCATGAAACCAGCAACTTCATTCAACTGTGGCAGTGAAAAAAACAAGGGTGTAGAGAGAGGTCCCATGCGACGTCGCGCATCTTAGAGCGCGCGGCGTCTTCCACGATCGTGTCTAGGTGTTCACTAGCGTAAGATAGTGTGAAGAAGAGCAAAAAGCAAGATGGAGCCTCGTTCGTTGCGAACGCGCGTATAAACAAGCTGGGCGTGGCGCAAGGCAATTCTCCACCAGTTGTAGGAGCTGGCAGGCGATCAAAGTCGCTGCAGAACAGGCTGGCAGAACAGTCAAATCCATGCCCCCTGACACGCCCCAGCACCTGCAACGAACAAGACCTCAGCTTTCGCCTATGGCAGCGAAAGGGCACAAAAACGTTGACACTCGAATGGACTGCAGACGCCGCGGAACGAAGTGTTCGCGACACCGCGCTGCGACACATTCCGCGTGCCTGTACGACTTGCACGCTTTATTTCTAGAAAGATCAAAAAGGTCTGCTGCTTTACGGTGTTATCAGAGGACAAGAAAAGGGCCATAGAACAGAGGCTGATCAGCAAGACAGGAAGCTAAGCGCTAAGGAAAAATGCAGAATCACTCATT